TTCTAAACTATGTTTAGTTTATAATACCAACTTAAAATGAAAAAACGGAGAGAATTTTTATTTATATCTTATTGTATGGTACCTGTGAATCAACAAAATGATATGGAAATACTAACATTATAAAGTACAGATATTTATAATAAATACGTAAAATCTTAAAATATTAGATCAGCGTCACTTTATTCAAATAACATGGCATCTCTTATTTAACTATATGCTCTATTATTTATAAATTGAGGAAAAAGAGAGTGGGTAAATCATCTCACAAGGGTAAACATAATTTTTAATGGCAACCTGTGTGGCAAAAACTGTTTCTGAGAATTTTAACTAATGTATTAAAACTCTCCCTCTGAGACATGGCAATCACAATCAAGGAGTCTTAAATGAGGACCAGAACCAGATATCCATTTATATTCCCAAAGAAGGCTACAGAGTTATCTCTTTACCTGTGAAATGGCGATAAGTTTAAAATAAACTTTATCCATAATTTGTCCTAGAAAAAAATGGTATTAAACTCACTTAAACTTTTTTCTGTATATTAATGCATGCAAAATATTTGTTGAGATGATTATAAAAAGCAGGTTAACTGTATATACTGTTTATAAAATAACTGTATATACTGTATATAAAATAACTGTATATACTAAGGTTAACTGTATATACTAATGTTTATAAAATCATTAGTATGCACTTAATTCTTCAACTTCAGCGATGTCCCACTAATTCCCATTCCCCACTGCCTCCCCTTAAAAGAAAACCAGGGCAATTATTTAATTAATGCAAGAACGTGTTTTTGGTAATATAGCCTAATATGTTAGGAGAGCAGAATGTCTGGTGTCATTACTGCGAGTCTACTGTTTTCTGGTTTATGAATTATCTCTATTGTGTGATAGGAACAAAGGTGACATATAATAAATAGAAGGTAATATAGCTAGCTCCCTGTGGGTTTTAGACAACTCTAAGATGACATGGCTGAATTTCTATGAAATCTGAATGAGCAGGTACAATGTGTATGGCATTGTCCTAGGCACTCCTGACAACCCTCAGTGCAGAAAGTTAATTGTCTACCATAAACTAGTAGTTAATATTATTTTCATCATTACAAAGAAATCACTGTGACCAGTGGAACCTAAAGTGCAATTTTGCAGAGGTAGGTTTCTAATCAATGTGACCACTGCCTCTGGGGAACTGAGTGTTCTAATATGAAGTTTATCCAGAGCAAAAAGAGAAAAATAAAAGCATCAGAGATTATCGGGGTCTTGGAGGGACCCTTTCCAAACAAATGCCTCAAGAACTTTTAAGTCCGCTGGCCTATAGGCACGCTTTCTTGCTTTAGGCTTTCATTCATCTGATACACAGATAAGATTGATGGATTGCACCCCACTAGTAAAGTGTGGGGGTGTTAACAGGGTGTATGGAGGGCAGGATGTCATTTAGGAGTGCACAATGATAATTCAAAACATTCTGGATGGCTTAACAGCATAACCACTTATCAAATTTTAATTAATCAGATCTCACCCTTCCACAGGCAGTTAGTTATTAAGAGTAGAATGAATGTGGCTGTAAATGGAGAGATGAATGGATATATGGAACCAAGACAAGGGACAGGTGAAGAAATGGCAGGTTAATTGTCAAACAAAATTTAAAAACAGAAGAACCTAAGTTTGTGAGATTGTAAAATTCACATATCAATAATTTCTCCAGAAAGCAATGTTAAAAATTAAAACCACCAAGAAATAGTTATCAAGCAACCAGGACCCTACCTTCATGCTTTCCTCTTTCTTCCAGTCCAAAAGCCTATTGTTTTCCTAAACACAGTTTAATTACAAGAACTCATAAGCCTTTTTCCCCAACATACCATTATCTACAGCCCAGTATAGGTCAATGTAGTGACCGCACAAAGTCTGGCTTGATAGAGGCCAAGAGAGTTGACAACAGCCCATGGAAGTCCATATTGACAATTTATCAATCTGTTTCAACAATCATTTAAATATGTGCTGAATTTAATTTCAACAGTGGAACCAATGACACACATTTGGCCTAAATTCTCTCAGATGTGGTGTCCGGTCTCAATCACAGTAAATCTATGATAACAGGTCAACCCTGGTGACAGGGCCTTTCTTAGCCAAGTGGATGGATGGCAGTTTCAATCAATCCTCGGGTTCTCACTTCATCACAAGGCTCAGGAATCTAACAACATTCACACACATAGAGTGAATCCTCTATGAAACTGGATGACTGGATTGCATGATTAACTCAGCATTCAAGTATTGACTGAGAGACTATTATGTGCTCAGAACTGAGCAAGTTGCTATAAATACCATACATACACTATGTCTACTATGTACATATGTAGTACATACGGATAGTATACTTTTATCTTTACATGTTTGATTTAATCCATATTACTCCTTGGGTTATACAACCAGATAATCCATGTGGTCATAAAATAAAACAAAATAAAAAAAAAAACTTCAGTGGTGATATACATACATTTTAGCTTTCATCTTTGATACTATAGGAGGGCAGTAGCTTACTATTTATGTACATTTAAATTAATACAATATGGGGAGAAGTTTATTTAAAATACAAATAATATCCTTAATTTAAAGTTTATTTTTACTGCATAATTGGGATGAATAAAACCTTTGTCCTAACAAAGACCTGCTAGTATGTTTTTTACTCAAATTTAATATATTCCATATTCACAAATTTGAGAAATATTTCACCCTAGACAAAAACATATTAAACTCACTAAGTTCTGTGAAAGAAGATACTGTGAAAGTATATTAAACAGATTCTTAGTGGCTTTAATAAAGAAAATAATCAGTATCAAACAATTATCTATATTAATAAAAAATGTACATCTTTGTCTGCCATTAACATTTTTCATTTATAGGTAGAATTGTTACATTTCATTAAATTTAAATTTAAACATATTAAAGTATTATATTAAACTTTAAAAAGTTTGGAAAGTAACAAAGAAAATTGTACAGAATTTATACTGGCAAAAAGGATTTCAGAATGGAATAGAGTTCGGGATATCTTTGATAATCTACATAAGAAAACTGATCAAAATTCACGATTTATAACATTTGTAACATACTTCAGAGATTTCTCCTTTAATTTCAATCATACGTGATAAATGATTTCATTACTAAATGAATAAATTATCATTTTCAAACTTCAGTTCACATTTTATTGTTTCTTTTTAGCTATACCCTTAACTAATACTTAAATTTTCTTCATTTAATCAGTTGCCTATATAATATTTCATAGACTCCTAAACTATTGAAAAGGGAAATTTCTGCTTAACAGTACAATATGAATGTAATATAGAATGGTATATATTGATTTCATATTTTCTAATTTGCCTAGTGAATTGCTGGCTTGGTATGTACAGAGTTTCTTTTTTTATTTTTTTGAGATGGAGTCTGGCTCTGTGGCCCAGGTTGGAGTGCAGTGTTGTGACCTCAGCTCACTGCACCCTCTGCCTCCCAGGTTCAAGCAAACCTCCTGCATCAGCCACCTGAGTAGCTGAGATTACAAGTGCATGCCATCACTCTTGCCCAATCTTTGTATTTTTAGTAGAGATGGGGTTTCACCATGTTAGTCAGGCTGGTCTTAAACTACTGACCTCGTGATCTCCCAAAGTGCTGCGATTACAGGCGTGAGCCCCGTGCCCAGACCGCATGTACAGAGTTTTTATACCCAATAAAAGTATACATTGTAATTCATGCAGCCCAAAACCATGGTATGTTCTCAGTATGCCTCCTAATTTACTAAATCTTCTGTCAAAATAATTTAAGATATTAAGTTTTAATAGCTTTTTAAATTGTAATATTATTGACTATATTTAATGGGTATGCTAGATTACATCATCCTATTTGTATAAGAACTTCTGAATTACTAATAAGCAGAATGTGATAAAAATAGCAAAATATTTTCAATATTTTTGCTGCACTACAACACACCTGAAATACAAAATACAAAAATTACTATTAAGATAGAATAAACAATTATAATTAAACAAAATAGAGTTCTTAAATTTCAGTGAGAATTTTAAAAATTCATTTTTTGGGGGCACAAAGGACAATTAATATTATTAAAGCAGATAAATATTAAGATAAGTAGACCAATAGAGATCATTAGTTCTACTAATATACCAATTTGAAAAGAATTAATATTTAAGTTTGGTTTTCTCCAAAAAACATAGAAAGAAAAATGTCATGTCTATATCTATAAACACATCCCAAATATTTTGGTGGGTACAAAAAGAAATGATGCCACATTAAGGGGGGAAAAATGTAAAAGATCACATAAGAAAATGACTTTTAAGGCAATATGAGCATGAGTTTAGTTAAAATGATATTAATAACAAGTAGTGCTGGCTTTCTATATCTGCAATGTATTAATTACAAAAATCTATATATGAATTTGCAAATAATGCCAGAGTACAGTGTAACCTTGAAAAATTACATCTTTAAAGTATGAGTAATATTTGGTAAAATGTAAAACACTGTCATATAAGAAAGAGTAATCCAAAAGGCTAGAAAAGTATATTGTGTTATTTAATGTGACTCGCACTAGAAATTAATTCAGAAAGGTATTATACAGTCCAAATTTTTATAGAGATCCCTAAATGATAAGAGAGTAATAACATAAATTTTCCTGTTTTTCTTAAGAGGAATATGCCATTGTAATTTCATATCAACAATGAAAATTCCAGTGACTGAGCTGGAGAGTAGGAGATATGCTATACTCTTATAAATATAAAAAAAAAATCTTATTTCATTACAGTATAAGGTTTTTCATACTGTTACTAATCTGCAGTGACAACATTTGATGGTGATAAACACATTTAATACTTACATAAAGAAGATAACCAAGCCATGTTTGTTTTCTGACTTTTTTTCCAGTTCTCATGTGTCAGAAGAGAAAAATAAAAATAAACAAAGAGCTGATGGAATTAAATAAGGGGATCTCAAAGTGGCACTTACTTGCATGACAATGTTGTAGTGAATGCAGAACCCTGGTTCAGAAGGAAAATATTCATCAGATACAAATCTTATCTTAATCTGATTTCCTTTAGAAATCTGTTTTCCTGGTACAGTACCAGAACCACACCAGCGCCCTAATATAGTTCCATCACTGGGTTCCTCAACTTCTACAAAATCATACCTGCAAAAAGACAAAGAGAAAGAGACATCATTTCACAATCTGTTATTCTGGCAATTACCAGTTTCATGTCTGTGGATGCTATGACTCGATGGACCACACCAAGGAGTTAACCCAAAATTTAACTGGGAACATATAATTAAGTATTCTAAAGAAGAGACACAACTGATAATGGCCATCCAGTTGAAGAAATATGAGTCTATTTGGAGTCCTTAGTTTTTCTGTTTACAAATTCCAAATTTCACTAAATAACCATCCTAAAACTTAAATGTTTTGTAAGGAACAACTGTATCTGGCATTCAATTCATGAATTACTGAATATAATTTCCATTTGGACATGACAGTGTTACTCCACTCTCAATTCCTATGATGACCGCCCTTTACTTGTTGAGAGTAACTCTTTCATCCTGGCCAGGGGCCCTGGCTCTTCCCTCATCTGTAATGCAAGCTTTCCTAGAGCCACTTCGTACCACACTTGGTACTGCTCTTCCCTCGTGTGACTTTCTTGGGTGTGCTCAGCTCACTCATCTTTCTCTCTTTGGTAAACACATATTTAACTAACCATATATGTGTATAAGTGACCCATCTTCTTAGGCTGTTAATCCTTGAAGAAACAAACCAGTACTTACACATTTTTATTTTATATTTCATTACATGCAGTATCTTAAACAGAGGAATAAATGAGTGTTTTAAACACACGTCAACTTCTGGTTTGGAAGGTCTGGATCAGTGGTGCTCACTGAGGCCAGTATTGCCCCATAACAGAGTGTTTCAGAAATCTGCACAAACGTTTTAGGTTGTCTCAATGATTGGGAGTGAGAAGGGGATGACAGAAACGTAGCAGGCAAGGTCCACAAATGCCAACACTGGAAAGTTCCGAAAATGAGTACTTGCCCCATGTCTTCTATGCCTTTCAAATATTTCACTGATAGAATTGCAGATGCAATTTCTACTGTGGATCATCTAAGTCTGGAACCTTACATCATCTCAGGTATAAACGCATATGTGTTTTGGACTGTTTTAGTTTATAGTAAATTTTCAAGAAAGTCAACTACAGAGTAAATTAAGGGAATTTTCTGTATTTTGTTTAGAACTTTACCAAGAGTTACTCACTTGGAAAAACACGTGACTAACAGGAACTACTTTCATCCCAACTAAAACAAACATATTCATATTAGTCTACATTTATAGCTGTCACGTTCACAGAGTCTGCTTAAAAGACCTCTTCCCTTTATTTTTCTAGGGTAATTGTTACTGTTCATTTATATATTGAAACACATTATTTTAATATAAATTACTTTCTGTTATTATAGATTTACATAACATGCAGGCCATATATTTATTTTTAAAACAATTTCACATATAAATAGATAATTGCTTCTACGAATTGCATTTCAGAATACTAAACAGGGAACTGCAAAACTTTTGTTAAAAGAGAGTCTGACATGGTTATAAACCACTGATAGATTAAAAAAAAATTTTAATTCAGTAGATACCAGACTATCAAAAATACTACATTTTATGTAGTATTAAATATATGAAAGAAAAAATTTGCTGAAAAAAGACAAAGTGTATAATGTAACAATTATATAAATCTGGAGTATCCAAAACTCTTTTATGGCATGTAACTTAAACTGTTTCAGCTTCATTTTCCTCACTGACAAACTGGTAATAATGCTACCTACCTCGGAGACATTTTAAGGAAGGAAAAATGAGGCAGCACTCCTGTGGCACCAGAAACACTGTTTGCACAGAGTTGCCACTCAAGAAAGTTTGTCCCCCATCTCTGTCCTGAACCCCTCCCACCTTTGCACACCTACCTTTTAAAGTAACCTTGGATGTTTAAAAGCAGTAAATAAGAAAGCACAAAGACAAAGAAGAGATATGATTTCGCTATATCATATGAGAAGTCGAGAGTTATAAATTACACACGCATAAGCCAGGCAATATAACTATTCCAGGAGTTTTGGTCTATGTGTGTGTGGGATATGGAAGGGCTGGGCAGTGCGTGTGTTTGTGTGTGTGTGTGTTTTGGGGATGTTGGGTAAAGCAGACCTACATAGATATTTCAGATCTATCTGGCAGAAACATTGATAATTACCATTTTTTATCAAATGCAAATTTTTGTATCAGGGTTGTCTATATATGAAACAAAGCTTCTGTTCATTGAGGATCTGTTTGTTCTGTGCTTGGGAGGTAAGCAGGTTACCACCACTCATTTGTCAGAAATATATGAAGCACTAATTTGGTGCAAACTGCTGTGCTAGATTCTCAGGATACAAACATAAAATGATAGCTTTTTTGGGTTCTGGGTCCATAAAACACATCGGTAAGTGCTCTAATTGGAGTATGTAAGAAATACTGTGGAATAGTAGAAGACAGAGCATAATTTTATACAGTGAGATGAAGGCCAGAGTATTGATTGACAAGGGATGAAAAGGGATGGGGCATGAAAATGCATTCTAGGAAGAAGTACAATACGTAAGATGTAATAGAAGAAAGGGCTAAGCATGGTCAAATGTGAATCGAGGGTGGGAAACAAAAAATTACATGGAGATCAAGGTGGACAAATTGATCCAGGTGAGAAGGTCTTGGTATTGCATGGTAAGATGATACCTAATGTAGATGAAGGGGAGATGGATGCAGCAAACCACCATGGCGTGTGTATACTTATGTAGCAATCCTGCACATTCTGCACATGTACCCCAGAACTTGAAGTATAATAATTAAAAGAAGACATTGGATTGTTATTTTGTAGGCCGATGCAGAAAACATGTAGGCACAGTTCTAGTGGGCTCGATGTCTCTTTAAAAATTTTGTCAACATTTAAAAAACTGGAATCTCATAGAAAACCTGGATGTTTGGCTTAAAAAAAAATTGAAGGTCTGGTAATAATATATATCATTAGCTTTGTGTGACTCCATGAAGGCTCACCTCCAGAATTCATGTCAGCTCCAGCAAAGGAGGTATCTTTGTTTACTTCACTGTCTTATCCTGAGCACCTACATCCCGGCACATAGTAAACCCTATGTCAGTGTTTGGTGAGTGAAGGAATGAATACTCGGCCTTCACAGCAACAGAGGCTGGGGCTAAATGATAAAAGCTTTAGATGAGGAGTGTTCTTCCTAATTTTAAAAATCCCTATCTACTTTCTATGATTAAAGCAAATCCAGATATCTCCATTTGCTCATATTTGCCCTTTTGGCATCTGAGTTTGCCACCCTTGCATTTAACATGCAGAGCCCCTGGAGGTTTCATAGAGGGGAGTAACACAGACACATAATCACAACATGCTTGAGAATTCGAGGAAACAAGAACATCTCCAAGTGTGGGTCAAAAGAAAAGCTGGTTTGACAAAAGCATCCCGAGAAGGAGCAGTCAAGGAAACAAGAGGGAAGCCACTGTGAGGGAAGGTGCAGAGGTTAAGGTAAGAGACAAGAGAGAATTTCACCTGAAGAAGGAGTGGTCAATAGGGCGAAGTGCAAAAGAAAGATCAAAGAGACAAACACTAAAAATCCAGTGGAAAAAAATACCACCGGATTTGGCCAGAATGAAGTAATTTCAATAAAGTGCTTTGACAGAACACATTGTGTCAAAAATTTTCTTGAGACTATTTTTCAAAATAACCATTTTAATCTTTCTAATATAAAAAGCATCCTAAGGAGAAAAGAATATCCTCTTCAAGAAGTTTAAAATTAACAGCTCACATAGCTATTTTACTATATACAATTCTTTTTATTTCTGTTTTAAAATCAAGTACATCATATGTTTATATGATCAGTAACTTCTTCCAAAGTACTTTTCAAAAGATTTTAATGACACAGATATATGTAGATTAAAATGTTAACACTTTATTTAGAAACAAATATATTTTAACTTTTGCCTTATCTAATTTATGTCGATACAAAATCCACTGTCCTGTAAACAGGAGAAGGGTGATTATCATATTATTATTTATTTCATGAAGATTTCCAACTGAGTTTGATACCATTTAGAAAATAATCCTTATGAAAATTTCTGGATTTGCAGCTAGACAGCTGGCAGCTAATTCTTACATGTCCATGCAAGTCTAGTGCATACATTTATCACAGTGCTTTGAAAAATCTATATAGTTTTGTATTCCATGAAGGTTAAATGAAATGAACATCTAATAAAGTACTATGTCCTTTATATGTTTCTAATTGTTTCATAGTAAATCAGACATTTCAAGATTTTCTCAGAATTCATGTCATATAAAAAGATGTAATTCTAAAATTCAAGTAATTATTCTGCCATTAGTTTTTATGGTCATACACAACAACTAAAGATGTCTATGGAATTTAAAATTATTAATGAAATCTTTATTTACACACACACACACACACACCATTGTCACTTGATTCCATATTTCCTTTCAACTTTTTTGAGAATGTAAAATTGAGAACAGTAAAAGAATAATCCACTAAATCAAGTCATCTACTTTAATAACTTGATACTTTTCTTATTTTCTGACACAACACCATTTGCAGAAAATAGGATTCATAGCGAAGTTTGCTTGGCTTGTATATGTTAACACACCTCAAACATCAAGAAGCGAATGAAGAGAGAAAACAATGATGAAAAACGTATCTGTAGGCCATAGTCAAATGAAAGGAAGATGATAAAACTAAGCAATATTGGCACATAAAAGTGAAATCACAAAACACAGTCATCCTTAAATTCAGAAATCTATACATGCCCAGGTGACTGTTCTGCAGACATGGTAATCCTTATAATACACTCTCAGGTATTAATTTCCAACATGCACAATTGCCCACGTCAGTATTTAAAGGATTTGCTAAACCTATTTTATGAGCCAATCAAACATCACTTTCTCATGGCAACATGATACAGAGCACACAGGGCTAAGTGGTTTATAATGATCACTCCCTTTCTCTAACATACCCCTGGGGACCCGTGGAGGATTTATGTCCTTTTATGTTTAACAAACAAGTCTGGTGTTGTAGACAAAATTTTCATCCTCA